AAAAAATCTATATTAAAGTTATAGCCATACATTGTATTATACATGCTGAGTATTTAACTTCGATTTTGGAATATATGACTAGTCAATTATATTACAACAGCAATGAAGTTTTTTCCTATAAAATTTAAAATTTTTTAACATGATAATGTTAACTGATCTGAAAGTTTTTTTGTTTTATTTTTAATTTGAACTAAAACAAATAAAAATTTACAATTAAAATAAATTGTAAATTTTTATTTACAATTTATACGGAACATACCGTCAAAAATATAATAAAAAAATTTGAGTACAAATATTAAGCTGAAAATGCGTGATGAAAAAAATCATTTTATGTTTTTTTTATTTAAATATATAAATTCATAAATCATCAATCAAATATTTATGTATGTAAATCCTTAAAGTATTTTACTGAGTCTATGAATTATTACAAATATTACAGAGTAGTAATTTTCTTCTCATTCATGTAAACACTAAATTCTACCTCTGCATAACTACTAAAGATAATGGTATTTATTCGAATGTTCGCCATCAAAGCGACCAGTGAAATCAAAACAATCCGCATTTATGACTTCTACTAAATGTTTAACCTTATTTGACAAAAATTATACGATCTATGGTCAAATTATGTCATTCTGAGCGCAGATTTGCGTTACAAAAATTCCTTAACCGCTTCGTTTGTAGAATGTATTTATCTACAATGCGTTTAATTAATATAAAGAGGTGCTGTCTATCTTGTATAGTTAAATAATGTAGCCTGTCATAAACTATTATAAATAATTTTTTTTTTAAGTACGAACAATTTTTTTATTGATCCTAAAGTTATAACTTACAAAAACATAAATATATTTTTCTCCATGAAAAATGTAATCGTAAAACTTTTAAAATCATCCAGAAAAGTTCTTAGTACATAAAAAATATTTCAATTTCAATATGAAAAAATATCATGTTTGGGTTTGAAATTTCATATATTTCGTGTATTTAAAGTTCAAACAACAAAAGTATCAAATGGTAAATTTGTAAGATTGTTGGCACGCGTACCTAACTACGCAGTTAATGTTTACAATTTTGAACTTGTGTTTTAATGATAGAAACCCGTATAATATATTTAGTAATCAAGCCTAAACGATATTATATTAGTGTTTAGTATTTATTTTACTATATTGATCATATTAGTATCGCCAGTAGATGAAAAATAGAATTTTTATAAAAAAAATATTAATCTACTAAAATGTTAATTTTCATAAAAATTTTCCTCAAATCGTTCTCAAATAAGTAACAAAGCAGTTCTAAACTTTATATTTAGTAAATATAATAATGTATTTGCAATGTGCTCAAATTAAATGATTGAAACAAAAAATGTTGACTAAATTAAGTTAACAATAAGTGAACATCAAACGAGAAAAGGTGTTTGTTCTTTTATTAATAATTGAGTTACACCATAGGCTTATGGTATTAATTTGGAATTTTATATATTTCATATTGTAGTTTCTCTTTATAGTATTTCTTAATTTCTACTAAAAATACAAATATTAAGCTTAATTGATTATTTTACTTTTTTTTTTTTATCGGAGAAAAAATCTTTTTAGTATAATTAATAAGAAAATTACAACTGAATACAGGACTAGCTATATCGATGCAGCTATTTAATATTAACATCGAAATAAAATCGATTTTACCGCAAACTAAATGATTATATAATATATTCTTGGTAAATAACTTCGATATAAGTAGACTCCAGTGAATGGAAAAATTTACAAGCAAGTCTATTAACTTTGTGTTATACTGAATAAAGATAAATATTATGTTTTTTAATCAATATGTAATTTAATATAATTTTGAGATTCATACTGGAATAAATATTAATTTATATTTTGATAGAACATAAAGAGATTCGATAATATTTGTCTTTTGATATTTTTAAAAAAATTTTAAATTTATATTATTGAGTAATAGTATCATTTACCAGGGTTGTTGAAAAACATTTTAAAAAATAAACCTGTTTGAAATGCCTTATAAGACCAATATAAATGTTGAAATTATTGGTGCTTTAAAATACCGATTTAAATACTGCGTGTTTTAAATGTAATAACCTTGCCAATGGCATAACACACAGATTTATTTTCAATGTTTAATTAAATGTTAATGAATTGATTAATAGTTAATTAAGAAAATTTAGCTTCTCTACGTATAAATACTTTAAAATTCAGTTTTGTTTTAAAAAGTTGATCCAACAATGTAAAGTAAACATGTGTAGTATACGTTAATTGAAAAAGTCTTCAAGTAAACCGAGTAAAAATTATGTACGACTCATAAAAATAACTTTAATGAAGTTTAATGAGTTATAAATTGTAATTGTATCAGTGAACACTATTACATTATAAAGTTGATAATTTATAACGACATTAAAAATGATCATTTTTCTTTTTAATTAAATTCAAGTTAGAATTATAGCTTGCGTACTATAAGCCCATTGATGCTGCGCAAAAGAATAATTCACATGTTTGTTGATTCATTAATAAATAAAAATACATGATTGATTTTCACCAAATAAGTAGTAAAAAAATGATCCCTAATAACTCAAAAATGACTTGTGTTTTTATTTTGAACTTGATTTTAGATAAAACGGAGGGTCAGAGGCAGGGTCACAGAAACACGTGCTTTATCTTAGATTTCTTGAATTTTTGTCCAGTAAAAAAAGTACTAGTATATTAAATATATGCTTCAGATCAATGTAACAAATATGAAATGGATTTATCTATAACTTCGTCGTGACTCTCATTCAATATAATTTTTTAAATAATTTATCTAAAAAAGTGGTACATTGTTTCTTTATCATAAATTAATTTGTAGAAAGTTAAATTATTTAATTATTATTTATAAATTTTTCGATTTTAATTTCTAATGGTATGTGTCATTAACTTACACAATTATATCGTAATTAATAATAGTATATAATTTCGAATATATTTTAATGTAACTTATGGGCGGATAGACTTAGGGCTATGGTAACATTTCTAGTTGAATTCTTTACTAGTTTCTATTATACACTTTTGTCAACGCCCAATAGTCAACGTTCTTTTGTAAATTATGATCTTAATTTGAAACACATAAAGGCAAACCTTGGGAAATACTTCCCAGACGGTGTATGGACCCTGAAAATAACTATCTATATACTTATTTATAATTTACTTTTACAATAGATGTACAAGTAACTTATAATTTATTAGTTTTTATACTACTCTGAAAAATTGGTTTAAATTCAAAGTATGATATTTGTGGAACAAATTCGTTGCCCGCTGATATCGATTATTATTAGTGATTTAATATTAAGAAACTATTTGACGAATCAAATTATCAATGTAAAATAAGAAAAAGGTTGTAATTAAAACCTTATTATTTTATTTTTTTTACGAATGGAAACGATTTTAATTTCATTAATAATATTAATAAAATTAGTAGGTAAATTAGCTTACTAATTGGTATCTTAGAAAAAACCAAATAATAATTTAAAGTATCAAAATTAATATGAAATTTGTAATTTAAGTTATTGTGTTTGAATAATTAAAAATGTCAGTACATTTTTATTACTAAATTCTTTAATTAAAATCATGCTTTGAAATATTTATTAAAATTAATATTATATATAATTAATAATTTTAATATAAATTTATTTAACTAAATCATAATAAATTGTTCATATTTTATAATTTATTTTATTTAATGTAATCACTAGCAATTATGATTTATTGTTTTACTTTGTTATTTATCCACTCATTGTCACAATGATGTATGCATTATATTTTAGTTCATGATTTATAGTCTTTGATTAAATTTTGTATTTGGACAAATTTACTACATATTTTGTTTGTCGACGTTAGTTTCTTAAGAATATTATTTAGTATATTACTCATTAACCGTAACATGTACAATTGATTCTAAGATTTTTATTCAAATTTCAGTATTTTAGGTAAAAACATCAATCTTTGTTTCTTTCATAAAAGATACATGTAGAAAGATAAGTATCGAAATCATCAAATAAAAATTTATTTGCGATTTAATTAATGAGTTTGCATTATCCCTTCAGTGGTCGCAGTAGTCGAATTACGTCAGGGTCTAGTTTCTTTTTAGAAGTATAATGAGACAATGATTAGACACAATGAAACAATTTTATTACGCAGGTTACAAATTATTGACAGCTAATGAGCTGCAAGTCTAGTTTCATGATGTTTTTATAAAAATAAGTATATTATCGTTTTTTAAATTAAATGTTTGAATAATAATTAGTTCCTTTTAAATTCATTTGATATTCCAATATCAAGGCCAATCGTTTTTAAATACAAATTTATTACTAAATCGTTATTTTACCAAATCGGTTTTAAATAGTATTGAAACGTAAATTGGTATTCATAATAACAATAATTTCAAATAAATCCACATATTTATCTTATTAACTAAATACCATGATGACAAGTCATCATGCATAAAATTGTAAACCACGGGGGGTTAAAAGAGGAAACTTGAGAGAGAACCTTATCAAAAAGAGAAACTGGTAATATTGTTAAGTTTAATCGAAGTTAATTGACCCGAACGTACTAAATTCTTAAGGATTCACATGTGAAGTCGTTAGGTGTCATTGCATAACGTCTAAGAACGTCTGCCTCTAGTCGTTGTACAAATGTGCTATTAGTGCAAATGTCAGGTTAGATATCACTGAAAAGATGAGATCGCATTCCGAGACTCTGGTATTAATTACAAATCGGTGACCACCACACACATTTAGCTAAGAAAAGCATAGTAATAGTAATAACCATCGCTGGCTTTTGAGACTATTTATCCTGAGGATTTAACAATCGTGCAGAATACGATATTCTCAACCAAAATAAGATTTCTAACGAGATCAACATAAACGATGGCTTTAAGGACATGCTTGGGGGAGTTGACAGGAAATAAATAAATAACGCGTTATTTACTAGGTATTTATCTGGTGTTCTATTACTCACCCGACCGTGGCTCGGAGAAAATAATACATTATGACGTAAAAAAAAAAAATTATAGCGAAACCATCGCTTTAACTTCTTTTGGAAGTCGAGTTAACAATTTTTATTTTATTTTTATGACCGTCCAGCCTTGATTCTAGGAGTCCCAATGGTTATCCGAAAATCGCTTGCACCATTTTGTACTTTATTTTCAAACACATATACCGGCTCAGAATACACGAACGCACCAAATTATATTGTCGGCGTTGTGGGAATTGACCGAAACGCGAAAGAGCAGCTCGCACGCGGCCACGGTGAACGCACGACTGACATGCGTGGGGTGTCTCTCTTCGGTTTACTGGTGACGACGATCTCCACGCAGCACCAGCAGCGTTACTATTATTTTTTGTTTTTATTTTTTTTATGAACATGGGAATGTGGTGTACATACATCTATGTACATGTTCATTTCTTGCATAATAATAACGATTTATCGAGTAATTATCAGGCGGAGGTAAGAAACTACATCAATACCGGTTTGTCGTAAGAAATGAATTTTAATTTAGTTTTTAATTTTTATTCTATAAAATACTTGAATGTTGAATGTTTATAAGTGAAGCACAATAATCTATAGACGTATATATTAAAATGTATTAATCGATTAATTATTCCGTAAGTATTGACTCGGGTTTCTGCTATTGAATTTTTAATTTTTCATCAATTCCTGTTTTATTTATTTGACTAATATAAAACAAAAATATTTATACTCCAAGAAAACTTTTTTTTACAGATATTGCTAATGTATTATTCGGTAAAAGATACAGTCTTTGCATTTTTATAATGAAGTATCAATATTTCCATTGAACATCTGATTAATGAATGCGATCATTATTACAGTGAAGTTTAGTAATATTATGTTGGTAATAAATATAACCATGAAGCATTAAGTAGTATTTTCCTTTTATTTGATATTGTAAATTTGAAAACTTCAATTTGAAGTTGTAAATTGATTAGCTATGTACAATGTAGTTGATAAAGATAAAAATCATTGCACTGAACACTATCGGCCGTATTCAGCAGTACCTTTCATGGTAAAAGCTACTACAGGGATTTTCCTATAAATCACATTACCCCTGGGACCCTTATTAGTTATCTGCGGGAATTTAAATACAGTGCACAACAATCCGCTTGGCACGTTATATCATAAAACAGAAACAAGTCATGAAAATGTCATAATTATGTTTTAAATTCAAATGTTTCAAAAGACATGCATAATCACAATTGACTGATCTGTGTCTATAGATTAAATTTAAATGACTTTGATTATTTAGAGGTTTATAACTATATATAATCAACTTAATGTTTCCAGGTGAGAAAAATAAGTTGTATTAAAATTAGAAACTATAATTTAATGTATCAATCTACATGATAAATTATTAAAATAGCAGTATGATTAGATGAATCAACCAGTTTTTAGATACTCCATATTTTTTTCAATGTATTTTATAGGAGAAATATTTTTAAATGAACATGATTTTGATAGATACTTAGATAACTATAATTTTATTTTTCTATTGTATATATATATATATACAGAGTGATTTTTTTTATCATAATTCACTCAATGACTTACATAATAAATATAATTTAAACATTTTTTTTTTTGATTATCTTTAGTTACACATTATTCTTGAATTATTAACTATATAATACTTTTTAAGTTCATCCCTTATGCTTTATAACAGTGTCAACTTTATTTTTTTAAATGGGAACACATATTTTGAATTTAATAAAATGTTTGAGCTTTAAATTTAATAGCAAATGGCATTTGAATTTTTAATATAACTTTTTTTGTTTATTATATATAAACATTTAAAGTTTAAAATATTTGAGTTAATATACATGTATAATATACAAGGGGTTACAAATACAGTTAGCTAATTGCTTTTTTATGACATTGCTGTCACAGTCACGGATTGTTTATTATCAATTATGACTATCGATAGATATACTTTCTGTATTATCAGTTAGTGTATTTATAAACTCACAACAATGTGCCTTACTACCATTGATAATAACAATGCTGTGTACCTGCTCATAAATTATATTTATTCTGTAATTAATTGAGTGGGTTATGATAAAAAAATCACTCTGAATATATATAGTTTTATTAATTTTTTTATGCATAATTATAATTTATAACAAAATTAATCAACACAGAAGTACTTTTTGAATTTAAGTAGCATAATATCTTAATTTAAAATTATACTTTTTCATAAATACTGAAACTTTATTGCTAGAAATTTATTGTTAAAAAAAATTTAAATCAATATGTTATTTATGAAATATTATGGTCAAATACATGAATATATTAACAGAAGTTTAATTTAATATTCCAATATCTCAAATCTAAGAAAAAAAATTTAATTATTTATGCTTGGAGCGATATTTCTAAATTGGTTTAATGAGATACTTATATATTTTTTTTTGAGACAACTAGATTTTAATTTTGTAATCGGCAATTTGAATATAATACCCCATTGATATGTCTTATGACAAACCTGTCAATGCAATAAAAAGGATTGTCTACATATTTAAAATATCATAAAAATTTATTTTACAAAGTTATTGTTAATTATAGTCAGTATTTTTCTTAAAGATTGCTAACTATTCAATACACCATAACTATCGAATATTCAATTGATCGTTATGACTATTTTTATAGTGGTAATAATAATCTAGTTATGAATCATTACTAACAATACTTTATATGTTTTTTAGAAGTATTATTTTTGCTTAAAACAATATCTTAAAGAATAACGTGATAAAAAAAACGATATTTTAATTCATAAACTTAATAGTTGTATACATAATCTTTTAAGAGACCTAATTTTTTGAACATAACATATGCACTACACATGAGCGATAAGTCGTAACCGGCATTATTGCCTGAGGACTTATGTCGATCGAATTATATATATATATCATAAAACGTAAAGATTAACGTTACGGTGTAACTTTAAGTGGAAATGTTTGTTTTGCTTTCGCTTTAGTTTTGAAGGTTTAACTCGGGTCAAACACAATGTAGTTTAAAGAAATAATGTGGTTCATCATTTGAAGTTCACAACTTAGAAGAATTATTTGTTAACCAACAGTTTCATATGTTATTAATATTATTTCATAATAACACTGTATTGATCAACTGAAAAATTTTTAATTATGTGCAAACTATACAAATTTGCGTAATAAATATCCAATAAGTACGTTTTTTATTGGAGTTTTTGGAAAAAAATTTTTTTATAAAGTGTTGTTATTGCATTATAAAACTAAAACTAAATAATTAATAATTATTAAATATTAGTTACTCAATTATTTATTCAATATTAAGCTAGTATAGTAATTCTTTTGAATGATTTTGAAGTTCACTAAAACTCCTAAATAGTAGACACTCACAGTAATAAAATATTTGTCTGCTATTCAGAAGTGGTAAATAATTGAAATTCATAAAGAACTAATAACAATGTAAAAAAACCCAGCACAGGGGGGTCGCGGCACAGTGGTGAAGTAGCATTGTTGAATCAAGTATAATGATATCTGACAGTGATTAAAATCACTATCATAAAAAAAGCTTCGATGCAAATCATTAGATAGTGTTTAATTTAAAAAAAATGGTGGATTATTCCAAAAGCTACATGATCTGCTATTTCCTTATTTATATCCTGATTAAGATAAAGTATGTCTAATGAAAGATGTATATAAATACTATTTCTCATGAAAAAATTGTATTGATCAATGTGGTTTTCAGAAAGTTATAACATAATAAAGTTAAATCGAGAATTTTTACACAAAAATAGCATTCGGTTGGGTTTTCATGGTTTTTTCACCATGAAGACAAAATAAAGTTCGAAATTTTTTTTTTCCATGATAAAGTATAATATTTATATCCTGATCTTTTGACGTATCGTTGAAAAAAATCGGTTCGGTGAGAGCTGAGAAAAAGTGGTATCAGAAACAAAAAAAAAAAACCCATTATTAATATCCTGATTAAGATAAAGTATGTCGAATGAAAAAGGGATTATTAAAAAATATTATTTCTCATAAAAAATTGTGTTAATTCATACACTTTTCAATAAGTTATAGCATTATAAAGTTAAAAATATAAAATATAAAATCGAGAATTTTCACACAAAAATAGCATTCGGTAGCCATTTTCACCGTGAAGACAAAATAAAGTTCGAAATTTTTTTTTTTCCGTAATAAAGTATATTACATTAGCTTCAATTTAAGATATATATAAAAGTATCAGTATTTCCAGAACACTTTCTAAAATTAAGTTGAAAAAGTTTAACTTTCTATATGTATTTTTAAGTTTTGAACCCTCTGTATAAAGGGAAATGGTCCGATTTAAAATTAAAGTATGTCGATTGAAAGAAGTATATAAATTGTATTAATCCATATATTTTTCAAAAAGTTATAGAAATATAAAGTTAAAAATATAAAATATAAATTCAGCTACTTCCTACGACTGCAGGAAATGATGGTGACCAAGCCACTTGCGTCGATGAAATAGCTGGTAGATTATTGGTAGTGGATTGCTTGGATTTCGGAACAGGCCATGGCCACTTCTTCAGATGCGTTAGCAACGCCTTCCATTTTAGAGAGGCTGTTGAGTGCGTTGATACGATCACATTTGCATGTGCCCATATCTCTGTCTCCCATAACATCGTTGTACCGTTTAATAGACATATATATATATATATATATAATTAACACAGTGACATACAACAATACTAACAGGAGTGCGGACTGCACACATAAACACTTTTTGCAATTCACGGCCAATGTGCCATAATAAGATATCTCTATCGACAGTTGACATTTTACCATCTTCGCGATCACTACTTTGTTTGATAATTAACTTAACTTCGCTACTCCATATATTATAGTGTGTGTGTGTGTCGCCGTCAGCTCCCTGTTGGATTAATCATCTCTAGGTGTCCAGCAGGTTATATTATCTATTTAATATTTCAATCACTTAATAAATATTTATTTATATCGTTGTTAACCAAGAGTGTTACATATATATATATATTGTAGTGCGACCCTTGGTAGTTCCTCTAAGGGAATATAAATTAAATAGGAAACTTCAGTACCTAAGGTAGATATAGCCTAGCCAGCTATCCCCCGTTGGTCCCTTAGAATACTGTCGACGGGCATTTAGGCTAAACCCCTAAATAGCGACGTAACAGCGTCTAGGGCTTGTTAGTTGAGGGTGGGACCTTTCAACCAATGGGTCCAAACATTGGTGACGGTGGAGTCTGAAAAGGACGATTCCCTTCGGACAAAACGGAAGGATATCTTCCTAACTCTCGAGCCCCCCACAATCACTTATAAGATATACTGTCCAGCCGGCGGTACCTGCACCGACGCGGACCAAGAAGCCGTATCTGGTGCTCTTTCAGCAGTTGAATTGTTTAACTTGGGACATCAAAGAGGATAACTGACTGAAGCGACGAGTTATTTTCGGACGACCTGGACCTCGTCTGGGAACAGGCGGGAATTTTAGAGGACGTTATGGAAGTTACACCCCTTACGGGCGCGTGGTGAAGATGGCTGTGGCCCTTATCGAAAGCCTGAGGGCCCTTGCTGAGTTTCACCTCACCTGTTACCCGATGCTTGCACCGGAGAGCCTGGTAAACCGCATTGACAGTAAGTGTTTTTCGTCTTGTTTGAACAAAACTATCAAGTTAGCATTATCGCGTATAACTTGCTTGGGTATTTTTAAATAACTCTGAGCCAAATAGACTATATCCACCTTGTTCGTCGCCCTCTAGAAAAATATTAACATATTAAATAATATAAAGGATAAATGAAATAAAATAGACATGAGTGAGAAGAATAAACTCTGACACTGCTGCATTGACTTTGTTCTATTAGGCCAAGTATACTACGTACATTTAAAACTATTGTCTATGATAAAATGATTATCATGGCAATAATGCTTTAACGGATAATTGACATCGGTCAACAGGGATGTAGCCCTTTTATACTGAGCCTTAAGACTGCCAAGCATGTCTCCATTGGTCAAACACATGTGAGGTTTTATTAAACTCGACATAATAAAATAGTTAATGTACGAATGTAGGAAAATAATATGATATTTTAAAATAAAGAATCTAAGAATAGTCAATTAGCAAAATGTGCCAGAAAGATAGGATAGAATAAAATAATCATATCAAAATAATTAAAGTGTATTAATTTAATTAAAGTTTATGTTTCAAAGAAATTATCGAAACAATTAATGAGTATAGGAAAAATGAATGTACGAAATAAAGAAAAAAAAGAATGTTGTACAATGTTACCACAATCATAATAAAAATAATGTTCAAGTCGTAGCCAAAAAACTGACTCGACTGCTAGGACTAAGAGTTAAATTTAGGTAGTAGTGATAATTTTAATTGCAAAAAATCAGAAAATGACGTGCTAGAGAAAGAGATATTCAACTGAAAAGACCAAAAAAACATTTTTAAACCAAACGTCCAGACCACTTGATGGCAACGACGCATACTGAACTGGAAGGGGATCAATATCGACATCAGTGCATGCATATTTGACAGACGCCTGAGATCGATAAACAATAAGACAACAGATTTTGGCTGACCTTTAGGTTTCACCTAAAGAGACTGAGGTCAGTCAGTAGTTCACCTCAACGAAATGAGATCATTGGAAACCGATGACAGAAATGAATTGATGATTTGATTGGTTGAGTAATCAAAGTGAAGTAATGAGTGGTTTTTCTTTTGACAAGAGAGACAAGTACGTTTTGATGGGAAAGAGTTGTTTTGAATTATTATTATATTATACCATATTGAACCTCTACTTTTAATTCTTCTTGCAATACCAAATACATTGATGAGCTGCATGGTTTTGACTATAAAAAGAACATTCGTTAGTAAGATTAATAGATATAGAAGTATTTAGTACTGAGGTAATGACTTATGTCCTGATCGCTAACTATTATTAGACAGTTTATACTACAGAAAAATATCCCAAGCTGACTGATACCCAATGCTTGTCAATGGGAAATGCGTAATGAAAGAAGCAGCTTCACTTTACAAAAATGTTTTCAACAATTCAAATCTTTCAATGTCAGGTAAATCTGGTATGTGTGAAATGATGGAATTGAACAATTCGTCAAAACTTTTAACGGCTATTTGTGTTCCATTAAACGTCGCCATTTTCCTCTTTGAAATATGAAAATGAGACAAAGGATTAGAATTATTAAAGGACATACCAGAACCAATTATTTGGTGAGTGATCTGATTACTAACTGGAATACCGATTTGCAACATATCAGCAGCTAACATCAATTTATAATACAACTTATCAATTTTTTACTCATACTGATAGACTCAGCATTTGACTCTCGAAATACCTGAGCTTTATAAACTAATTTTTTCATGATATAAACATTTTCCTCAAATATTGCCCAAAGTTTAATGATTTAAACAATCATCACTTTGAATTTAGTCAAGCGAACAATATCCTCAAAGTAGGTAGCCAAGTCATTACCGCACTTTTTAAATGATTTCAGCTTTAATAAGACATTCTCGCAGGCAACAAGAGAATTGTCATATTCAAGACACTAAGCGGTTTACTTGTCGTATGAATTCGATTGTTGATCCATGTTGATTTATGATTTTGATTTATGAAAAGATGTTGAGAGTATTCATATATTAATACTTCAATATAAGAATATTGTACAAACATAAAATATCATTAAAATGAATGTTAGTAAAACTAAAATTATAATATATATATGTATATACATTAATAGATTATTTAATCGTAATTTAAAATGATACAATAAAGGCGACCTGTATATTTACGGATGCCAGTAACCTGGTTTGCGCCAAAATTGTATGTCTTGCTAATGACAAAAACAGAATGACAGGAAAACGACGATTAACCTTGTCCAAAAGTTAGTGTGTTTTGAGTAACAATTTATATGTAAAGAACTGGTTTGCGAAATTATGAGTTAATATACACCCTTTTGCGATAGTTCAAAAGGAACGCAAAATAAAAAAAAGAAACGATAATATACCGTTAAGTTTGGTATCAACGATACTCGAGCGAGCATTTCATTGCGAATGAATAAAAATGACTCGTTTTAAAGAGGCGCGTGTAACTCGTCCAATTATTTTTATCAGCGGTCAGTCACATATTGATGGGGCGGTCACAACATAGACACCATATGACTGTGTACTCAACAGATTCAAAGAATCGATTTTTTTTAATGATCTGATTCGAAAGAGTTGATTCATATGATCGAATTTTATTTCCCATCACTAGTAAGGACACCTCAGAGTTTCATCCTCTCCACCATCACTTAAAAGTATCAGTAATGGTAATGGGATACTCTCAACGGACATAAGTTATATGTGTTTACAATGGAAACTCCGAAGGAAATATGAGGGGAGCTATCAATATGTATTTCATATTAAAGATCGTGACAAGAATGAATGAGGAATGGACGAGAACAATTTTCAGAGCTCTAAGATCAGCCGTTACTTTGAATTTTTTGAAAATGCCCCCTTTCAACGGGAAAAGAACTTTAAAAATTTGAATTAACTTAAAATGCTCTTTTTATCAATCGGCAAGTACAGCATCTTATTGGTTCATTGGTAATGCATATGCCTCAAATACTAGAGTTACGAGGTTCGAATCCCGCGATGCAGGTTAACTTTTTCAAAATTTTTTAATAATAAATATCTTTATAAATGGGACTATAGAAGTAGATTTTATACTAAATTGCGCAGAAAAATAATGATTTTAAAATGAAACATTTTTTAATAGACCAAAATATACTTTGCTAAACCACATTTGTGATGATTCAATTTAGACTATAATATCAAATCTGCTATTTGATTTTTTCACCGCATCTTTTTTTGAGATTATTTTTAATTTGCAAAAACGATTACTTATGTATAAACACTCATTTTGGTTTTTTAAATATTAAAATAATTCATGTAAATTTTCATGTTTAACTTTCTTTATTTAGATCTTTAAAAACTTTCCATGAAAGTTTGAAATTGATATTATTAAATAAAAATAAAATAAGAAATTATCTCTATAAGAAAATGACTGGTAGATAAAGCTTTTGATCCATTATTTCGACAGCTTAGAAATAATAGAAAATAGAATGGAGTTGGGATGTGTTCATGTTATATATATCATTCCGAAGTTCTATCGCAAATTTTTATATTAATCAATGATTTTCTTAGCTAATTAAAATACAATTTATATTATTGATAATCATTTTCATTCTAAAATTCATTTTTATAGTATGTATTTATACATGTTTTATACTTATAAATTATAAAGCTAGTAATTAAAATATAATTAAAGAAGTGTAGTTGATTTTGCTTCTGGAGTAATTCAACAATTCTTTCTAAAATTAAATACCATCTACAGAAGTGTTTTTTTTTGGTATAGTGATTTTAATCACTGTCAGATATCATTTAACTTGTCCCCACTGTGCTTGGTTTTTAAAAATATTTTTCAAAAATTTTATAAAGGTTTAAAGTCAAAATAAATATTTTCAAAAAATAGGGGAATGATACTCTAACTACTCTTTTTTTAATACATAAATTCAGTTTAAACAACTTTCATAAAAACACATATTTTTTTATATACAACCGTTAGGTTGGTTAATACCATTGGTATATCTTGGGGAAATTTTTAAATGCAGTGGTTTCCCGTTGCCTTCTGCTCTAAAAACATTGGTGCTTCTTCGCCACCGTAGAAGCACACGCATGGTCACCCATCCGTTAACCTACGGCGGTAGCGTGCGGCTTAACACTAGAGTTTTGTCAACAATTAGTGTGACTACCGCGCCACACCACGCCCTCAAAGTTAATGTACTATAATTTATTAAATTTTGAAATTTTTACACAAAAAACGTATTTTTTTGTTTAACTTTTATGTTTCTTTTCTTCATGATAACATTCCAGAGTTAATTATAAAATCTATACGAAAAAAAAAAAAAATTTTTTTTTATCAATTCTTACAATTTTCAAACAGATATAGCAGTACAAAGTCAAAAAATTTAAATCGAGAATTTTACACAGAAATAGCATATTTTGGACTACGATAGTTATTTTTACCATGACGACAGTTCAAAATTCAAATTTTTTTTCCATAAAAAAGTATATTCCGTACGTTTTAATTTAAGATATGTATAAATCTGTCAGTATACCGAAACTTTTTCAAAAGTTAAGTTAAAAAAATCAGATAAATAAATTTATAAAAAATAAAATAGTTTTATCAGAAAAATATTTGTTGTATAATTTGAGTATAATTCTTTATTTTATTCAATGAGATGAAAGAGTAATAGATCACTGTTTCATCTCAGGGACATTCCTTTTCTATTGCATATTGTAAACATATTAATTAATCATTTATAGCAGCCATTTTAGTTATATTTTCGTTCCATCCAATTTTATTTATATATGCATATTCTAAAATGTCTAATCTACAATTAAAAGCAGCTCCTTCCATTACTGTTTGATCCCATGGACATTCATTTTCAATTGCATATTTTAGGCACTCCAAATGCCCATTCGTTGCAGCTGCTTTTGTTGTTTTTTCATTCCATGGACACTCTTTTTTATGTGCATATTGTAAACATTTTAAATGTCCGTTTGTAGCAGCTGCTGTCGTTGTTTCTTCATTCCATGAACACTCATTTTCATGTGCATATTGTAAACATATTAATTGGCCATTCATAGCAGCCATTTTAGTTATATTTTCGTTCCATCCAATTTTATTTATATATGCATATTCTAAAATGTCTAATCTACAATTAAAAGCAGCTCCTTCCATTACTGTTTGATCCCATGGACATTCATTTTCAATTGCATATTTTAGGCACTCTAAATGTCCATTTGTAGCAGCAGCTGTAGTTGTTTCTTGATTCCAAGAACATCCACTCTCGTGAGCTCTTATTAATTTGTCTAAGTCACCATTTGCAGCAGCATTTCTCGTTGCATCTCTTTCAAAATGGTATGCTATCCCTAAATGATTATAATTATTAATGTATTTTTGCTATATTAAAATTTTATTTAGAATACTAAAAAATATCTAATTAAAAGAGTGTTATGTCAATTATAATTTTTGTTTTATTATTAGTGTTTGGTACAGAATGCCTTTAGCAAAGATTTAGTAGACCAATTGTTATAAACATCGTTGATTATATTATATCGTGTGACAACTGATCTCCAGCGTCTTGCTTTACTCACCCCTTTGCCCACCCAGCACGGCAAATCGATGACCTCCGTGTCAATTGTCATTCGTATACAGTTCATTGTCGTAAGTCAGTCAGTCAATTGTTTTTGTGTCACTATTTTCTGTAACAAGCGCCTTCGCTTGAATGGTAAATTGTTCGGCCATCGTACGCCATAATTCTTTTAATAGTTTATTGCACCCTTGTGCTCAAAGTTTACGTGCCCTTGCACGCCACTAGTGATTGGGCTCTGACCATCACTAAATATCTTCATTGCCGTAGTCGCTTTTTCACGGTCTGTTCTCATCTGTCATTACGTACCTGGATTTACACTCTGACTCGTCATACTCAGATGTTCGACACCATATCACCAGATCTTATACAGTCCACTCATCATTATTAACTTCATCTATTCAGCTACGTTTATATTATTTTTAATGTTTTTATTGTTTGTTTTAATTGAGATTAACTATTTGTTTTATGCTGCTTCGCCGGCCACTAGTATTTAAGAGCCCTCGTTACCCCTTAAATTTAAGATACTCTCTGAGGAATTTCTAATATATGTGGTTATTTGTTATTTAATTATTGTCTACTCTCGTTTACTTATTAGGTGTATAGTTATCCGTTATCCCTCAGGTGACTCATTTCTGTTTCAATAATAAATATTTAAACAGGCTAAAGGTAAAACGGCATTCTAGTGCGGTGCACAGCTAGCCGTCCTACGGTTTAGCTTCCTCGTACAAAACAATTAGCATACCTCATTATGCTTTCTTTTTACATTAAATATAAATATTTTGTTTAAATTTATTGCTATAAATAAAATAGAAATATTTTAGAAAATTTGGTCAAACCAATGCATTGATGATATTAAAGGATCCAAAAAACAATTTCTTTTGATATTATTTTAAGTCTGCGGATCTCTTAATATAAAATAATTCTATCAATGTAAAAGTTGATAAAATTTGTTTTGCATAATAATGTAGTATGTTGGTTGTAAACAGCAGAGTAGGTACTTATTCAAATAAATTAAAATATAAATCATTACTTAATCAAACGTTTTTGGTACAAAATTTATTTGAACAAAATATTTATCTGAATAATAATTTTTAAATATTTTCGAATAATACTGTTTCTATTTTTAAATTTGTTAAGTAATAAAAGATACAAGGTAGCCAAAGGCATCAAAAATAAAATAAACGAACTCTTGTTGTAAGGTTGAAAGTTGAACAGAGACAACCGAGTATTGAAACTGATGTTTAACAAATCTTCCATTGCGTACTAAGTCGAGTCGACTAACTATAATGATCAGATCAAATAAGTTAAAGTATTTTTTTATTATCAAAAACTATCAGTCACCCTCGTTTAAAGTGCTTTCCTACTTTTTTATAATATAATCTACGATTTCATTACCTTTAGTTCCAGTTTAATATCTATAGAGTTAGAAATTTGACAGTAATTAAAATCACTATCATAATGTTCTTGTAATGTTATAGAAAGTTCTAAAAAAAAAATTTAGACTCAGATTTGTAAGTTAAGTTGTGGAAGTTAACTCTTCATATAAAATTTGATATTTAGAATACCTTTTGTGGCGGTTATATTTTTGTTTTTCAAAAAAAAACATTTGTTTTAATTCATACATTTTTCAACAATTTTAGCAATTAAAATCAAAATAATACAAAAACTATTTATTGAGAGTATTCAATAATTATACGTTTTCGGAGAATTTACTACATTTAAGAAGAACAAGAAAATTTTTTCTAAATTTTGTTGATGATAACTTCATCCAAGTACAGTTTATTATGTTTTGACGACAATTAATTATTTTATAAATTTACATTATAATTTGTTTACATTTTTTAATAAATGTTTCAAAAGTTGTAAATTTAAAATAAGATTGAAAATTGGATATTTATTATTCCACTTTTGATATACAATTTTTCATTATGCGCATATGGAAAGAGAATAAAAAGTAAAAAAAAAATGAAATATCTCTATGATATTAATTCATATCATTAAAATGAAATAAATATTTAATAAATTTAATAAGCATAAATAATGTAAAATAGAGTTTACCTTTGTTAAACTTCAAATAGGAAATAAACAACAAATAGGTAATCAATTGCCAATTCTAGAATACATAATCGATTATTTAGATTTCATTGATAATGTACTTTAAGGTGTTACTCACCTCCATTCTTATTTTTACTTAAATGTTATATTCTAGATAAGATTTGTATAGACAATTTTTTGATAAAATAGTTATATATATATAAAATCACCAACCTATTCAATTATTTTTTATACTCTTTAATATAAAAAGATTATTTAAGTAAAAATAGTCTAATATACTTATACTTTATTATTTACTTAATTATTATAATCAATCTATTCATACACATATAAAAAATGCTGGCTGAACAGGTTGGCTAAAACACATTTTCAATTTAATAAAATTTGGTGAATTATTAATACAAATATAAATATATACAGAGTGTTCAGTAAATAAGGAAAAAAGTCAATTGTTATAAACAATTAGAACAATGAAACTCGTTCCTTAATTTCTGAACACTCAATATATGTATAGAAACAAAGTTATTCCTTTTTATGTTTAATTTTTAAAAGGGTTTGTTGTATTATTATAAAACCAAATATCCATTTCCTTAATTATATCCTAATTATAAGTTTTCATGATTTATAAGAAAAATACACGAATAAATACTTAATATACTTATTATATTCAGTATAAATCTAATTTTGAATAATTTAGTTAATGTAATTTTTATGGATAAATTATAAAAAATTATAATGTAGTTGTATACAAAATGATTTTTTTAACATTAGTCACTCAATTTATCTTAAAATAATAATTACGTTAAGACAATTTTTTTTGGTATTTTTTAGATCTTAATATATTTCTCAATTTAAATAATTATATATTATTTAATTAATAAAATAAAATAATGATATAGAGTAGAGCAGATCTAATTGACAACTCATATAACTTATGGTCTACATAACATTTCACACTTTTCTTCTTTTTTAAAAACCAAATTTTACAATATACGACTATATTTAAAATATGTTTTATGTTATTTTTAACTAAAATGTTTTAAAAATTAATTTTTTTTCGAAGATTTGAAAGTAGCTATTTTACAAATAACTTTAAAAACATTTTTTTTTTATATCAGAAACTCTTATTTTAATTCAGTATTTACGTTCCTACAGTATTTAGAAGTTTGTTAAATTTTGAATTTTTTTATGATTTTTTTATAATATCAAACGTTAGTCTATGTAAAGAACATTATTTTAACATTATTTTTTTATGTTATTTACTGGCTATAATACACGATATCATTTTCATGAAAAATAATTACGTTTGAAGAAACTGTTTACGGAAATGATTATGTTAAATCTTTATTGCAAAATGTTACTAACATTTTCGAATGTTAACTACAAGTGTTCAAATTAAAAGTTATAAGAATTATTAAATTGCCTGATTCTATTATTGATATAATATTATTATAGAATATTCCTTGTTAGGAGATTTAATAATAAATGGACTTATTCATTATTATTTTCGTTTAGATTTATAAAACATGAACATATTTAATTAAAATTTAAAATTTTTTAAATTAAAACTTAAATTGCGACAATACGCAATTTCTTAAAAAAATAATGTTTACTTCCGTCCTTTACAAAGACTAACGTTTAATATCATAAAAAAACGTAAAAAATTCATAATTTAACAAAATACAATATGCTATAGAAACGTAACTACTGAATTACAATAAAAGTTTTTGTTGTATGTTATCAGTTTCCCATATAAAAAAAACAAAGTTGATGCCCTTACAAGGTATAAGGGATGAACTTAAAAAGTTTATTGAGTACTAATTGAGTAGGTTATGGTAAAAAAATCATAGTATACTTTATTGTTTACTTAATTATTTTAATGAACCAAATTAAAACAAAGACTTGTTTTTATAAAGTGTAAATTATTTATACATATAAAATTAAAAAATATACATTTATTAAGATAAAATTCAATGAAACTGTATTTTATGTAAGTATTAATACTAAAAAAAGTTTATGTATATAACAAGAGTATAAATGATATGTTGCCAGGAAAAATAAAGATTTTGTTTTTGTAATTAACAGCGCCTTGTGCGTACTAAATGGCTCATACTACATATTTTTATTTTTTTTAATTTTATACTTGGTAAATATGATATTACTTGCTGTATTCTACTATAGCACATGATTGTTGATTACAATATAAAATAATATTTAATATAATATTGTAATCAACAGTCATATTTAGTTAAATTCTTTTATTAAATTAATTTTTATTCTAAATTTTTATTATATAATAAATTTAATTAAATAAAAACTTTAAATCAATTATTTTTTTCTTGTAATAAACCAAAAATATCTACTATTTAGATTATTATGATTGAAAACATAATAATTTTTTTATTTATTTGAATATTCTATAACGTAACTTAAAAATTTATTTTGAAATTAATTTTTCTATTACAATAATATTTATTATATTTATAGGTAAAAACAATATGATGAATAATGGCAAATAATTAAATCATTTTTATTTATTTTTTTTATTGCTTTTTCATTATTTTAAAAAATAAAAGTCATTACGAAGTTAAATTATGTAAATTAAAATATCATTTAGTACAAAGGTTACTATTATTTGAATGAAATTTGAAAACATATAACTATAAGAAAAATCCAGTATATTAATTGATTAATTATTTGACAAAATTATAAAAACTAGAGATTTACAACATTGTTAAAAATAATATTAATTTCATTAAAATCGAACATAAATATATAATGAAATTTGATCACTTGTGGCTAATAATATTTTTAATATAGTATTAATTGTAAATGAAACATAAAATTATACCAGAATTAAATATTAAGGATATTTAACCAAATTTTTAAATATTAAAATATAATTCCTTTTACAGAATGCAATGAATAAAAATTGTTTAATTTTCATGATAAGAATAGATTATGAAGAATTTTAAATTAAATTTGACTTATCGCGCAAATGAACTTTTTTCTGACATAGCGGTGTCAAAAGCTCTTTATTTTTGCCGATGACTACTAGATAAAGTGACAAAAGAGAATAAATATAAAAACGGTAGCACAGTGGGGTCGCGGCACAATGTGGACATTGCACAGTTGGACAAGTATAGATGATATCTGACAGTGATTAAAATCACTATCATAAAAAACGCTTCGATGAAAATCTGTAGATAGTGTTTAATTTTAAGAAGTTGGTGGATTATACCAAAAACAAAATGAATTTTTATTTCCATTTATTATTCATAATGAGTAGTTTTTGATTTAGAAGTATAATATATGAATAAATATTAATTATAGAAATTAAATTAGTATGAGATTGTTATTTAATAATTTAGTATTGTAATTTATTCGGATAATTTATAAAAAAATGATAAAATAGTTATTCCTTTATGGAAAATGTGTATAAAAAGGGGCGTATTATAAATTAAAACTAAGTAATATCTGTTAATCTGTTAAATCATTTATTTATGTTTAACTTTTAAAGAGCATAAACATAAATAGTAACTATTGTCTGATTATGAATATTACTATAAGAACCCATCACAGTGGGATCGCGGTATAGTTAGGTCCAGTATAGATGATATCTGACAGTGATTAGAATCACTATCATAAAAAACGCTTCGATGCAAATCTGTAGATAATCATTAATTTAAATAAATTGGTTCTTAAAGCAAAATTAAATCCTATTTCTATCATTATTCCTAATTAGTAGTTGCTTTATAAGTATAATTTATGAATAAATATCTATAAAAGCAATTGAACGTAGTATGAAATTAATATTTAATAATTTAGTATTGTAATTTTTTCGGTGAATTTATAAAAAATAATAAAGTAATTATTACTTTTATGGCAAAGGTGTAAAAAATTGAAGGGCTTGACACAAAACTTATTAGATAATAACTTATTGTTAATTATGAATAAATGGTCTGCAAAAAATGTTCATCAGAGTCAAAAATATACTTTTATTATACAATTTTTTGTGCTAATTTCAAATAAGCAATTATATTTTTCTATAACCAATAATTTTTGATATTATTACTAATTAGTTCAAAACTATAGGATATTGTTCTAAATATTACAATTGTATTATCTATTTAAACACCATGTGTTACATAGAAATTATTAATATTTCTTTTGAAATTATTTATTACGATAAAAAAATAATAATTTTTTTTTAAATATTAAAGATTTTGATTTTTAATATGTTCAAAATAATCAGTCCAAAATTTCATTTTTAACCTATTTTGTTGGTTTTTAAAGTTGTTGAAAAAGTTTTGATTAAGTTTTTTTAAATATATACTAAAGAAAATTTGAATTTGTTACCATAATTTATAGCTCAACTTCAAGTTTGAAATTTACATTATTAAATAGAAACTTTTATGAAAATTAAAAAAATAGTATCGTTAAGATTAATATGCAGTCAAGAAATTGTATTATTACTATTTACTGTAAATTTATTAGAAAAGCTCAATATTTTTTTTGCATTTTCATTGTAATAAATCACTTAAATAGACATCATAGCAATCATTTATAAGTATATTTTCGTGTTTAAAAAAATTCTACAATTGAAATATTTAGAAATTAATTAATTTTAATATTTAGTTTAACTAAAAAAACAATCAAAATGTTGTTAAAAAAATCTACCCAATTTATGCATTAAAAATAAAAATTCAGATGAAACTAAAATTATTTATTTTTAGATTTGTTTTACATAGCAACATGTTACCAAAAAATTTGGAATATTATAGATTGGTAGTAACACACACAAATAAAATTAATAAATTACAAAGTAAAATTATTTAATTTTGTAGTTAAAACCTATTATCATATCAAACCTAATTCGACATTAAATACTTTAAAAACATTAGAATGAATGATTTTAATTGTCTATATGAAAAAAATAAGGGCTAAGTAACTTTTTAATTTTTTTCAATTTTGAGTACCTTTAACTATCTTTAAATATTTTTAACTGGATAATAGTTGTGATTATATAATATATCGTTAAAAAAAGTTGGTTAAGTGAGAGCTGAAAATAATTAAGTCACACAAAAAAAAAAAAACACATAGTAATATAATTTTAATATGAATAAGAAATGTTTTCAAACGAGGGGAGACTACAGTGATAGGGTTCTTGATATTCTTGGAAATTATTGAATCTAAATGAGATAAAAATGAAATGAGTTATTTAATT